AAAAAAAAAAAGAAAAGGGATCATGTCACATGTAAGGTGTATATGTATATATATAAAGATAAATTTTACTAGGGATCATATTATAAATAAAGGTTAGTACTCATGTATAAATGTATACATGTGTGTACACACATTGTTCTGCTATGTAGGGGATAAGTGATATTAACATGACTTCTTATTGGTGATATCAAAATTGCTCACTTGGTTAAACCCAATTTTCTCTCTAGCAAAGTTACCTTTTTTCTTTTCATTCTCTCTTCTTTGGAAGTGAGTCACTAAATCTCACCCACCTAAATTAAACTGTATTGTGGAGCTTATTTGGAATTCTGTGAGAAAGACTTCTTCTGCTCTCCTATCTATTTATGCATTCATTCGGCCACTTAATTTACATCAATATAGATGCAAGAATATTTAATATATTTGGGTTATCATTCAGTACTATATTAATTTATTTTGTTGTTTCAATTCAAATGTGTTTTGACTTACTCTCTCTAAAGATACTACATGGAAGAGAAGCAGGCATAATAGGATTCTATTTATGTTTTCAGATGCTTACTTATTCCTTTTACTGAGTTCCTTGTTTTTAATTTTTGTCTCCTGATGAAATGAAAGTCAGATGGATAATGAGCTAGCTATATATAAAGCCACAATTTAAGCTTAGCCAAGATTGTGTTGAGGGACTATGATGGTTAGATCTCTGCTCTTCCTCAGCCTACACCGAATTCTTGCTGCACTGACTATAGACTGCTTCATTGTGCTGAGGTTTAACTCCTTGCGCCTCTAGGGAGGCCCTCAAAAGCTTGAATTCTTTCCGTAAGTGTTCTCATTGTTATCATTATAAATCCAACTTACCCTAAAATCCTAACATTACATATCACTATGTACAAATGACCAGATATTCTGGACTATTAAATATCTGATTCCCAGTACCTGTTTGTATTTTTCTTTATGTTTTTCTCTGTCTGGATATATCCTCATTCCCAATCAAAGTGTCAGACTATCAAGCTATACACATACATTCCTATTTGTAATACGGTTCCTACTTCCACTAAAAGATCTGCAAGCATTTCTGTACTGACAAGATAGACATTTCTAGGTAGTCATCCTACCAAAGTTTAGCCCAGTGATTTATATCCCCGCTGTATTAACACATTGCATGATCTTCATCTGAGATGTTCTATATCATACCTTCTCCTATATATCTTTTATATAAAAAAGAACAATAACGTGTTTATTTACATTTAATTATTAATCATTTTTAAAAAGATTTATTTATTTATTCATTCGTACAGAACTGGGGTACAGGCCAGAGATGCGGAGGGTGAGAGGACTCACCAAGGACAGAGTGTGGAGCAGAACAGGCAGATCGA